AGGCTAAACACTGAAAAACACCCAAACCCTAACTCTCTAAACCCTGAAACCCTACAGGAAGCAAACACATGGCCACATTCTGATCGATTCGGGCGGTAGAAGACCAAGTCGGCGAACACGAAGCAATCAAGTATCTGACCCCGCCAACCCACGGAGTACGGGCCCGCGTTTCTTGAGGAAAACTGTGTGGTTTTTTCGAGTTTCTGTGGTAATACAAAGCATGTAACAAGCAACGACGTCATGTGACTGCCGAGCTCGCAGAGATGCTGAGGTCGTGATCCCGTTAGACACTTACTCGTATGTAGTCTCTCAGGGCACGTATCCCACGGAAAGTACAGACTGACATACGACGACCGCAATAGCTGCTTTACTTTTTGTTTCGCAAGTTGTATGCCACCGTGTTCTGACGTCATCGGTCAGATGTGCTCTTGCATCTACGCACGCCGCACGTGCAGTTGTGTTTGCGACAGAACACATTCCAAGTGAACACAGTCTGGGTATTCAGGGTCATTCACACACACTCGAAAACACATCATTATCGCTATATCAAAGAATTAAGCAACGCTACTCAGCGCATACTTGTGTCGAGTTTGCTCGGGTGTACAGGCATGGACAGCATGGAAGCTTTGGTCACATGCAACGTATATACCGCAAAAGACTCTGAGCTATCCACTTCTTCATAGCCGTGAACTTCGACTTGAGATGCGTTTTCTTGACGGACAGTGGGTTCTTCTTCATGACGCGGGATCAGGTAGAGGACGCTGGTCGACGACATACGCACTTGCTGGACAATGGCTTTCGCAGTATGCGAAAGCAGCCTTGGCGATCTTGACACGGAACCGATCAATGCACCAGCGCTTGATCTGTGCGTGTGGCTTCTGGGTTGTCGCATGCTCGAGGCAAGCGCACATTCTGTCGTAGACAACACAATCGTTGTGAGGGCCACATGCCGCCATTTCGAGCAGAACATCTGTGGCGATTTGATTGTTCTCGGGGTCTCTCTCATGGCGGACACAGACAAAACCAAGCCAGTAGATGGATCAACCGCCATGAACCATCCATTCTGTCGCATTGGCATCTTGCCGTCCTTGGATGGTCCTTGGAGATGGTGAGGTCCAAGCGCATTTCGCTGCGACCTTTTGATGTCCGATATCCTTGACTTTCTGCCACTCCCGTTTGGTCAGCTGCGTTTCATGCCACCAAGTCCTGCAGGAATGCAGGATGTTCTTCAATGGATCCGCAATATCGATACTGCAAAGCTTCTTGTGACTCATAGGTCACATAATGTGTCCTTCTGACGACCAAATGTGGGATGCCTCTCGCAGCACAGCATAATATAGCTGCACCGCACAGTACTCCTGGTCCCACCGTTTTCTGAATCGGATAGCTGACTTTGGACCCCAAACCCGAAAACCACCTACTCTGAAACCCGAAAACAAACGGCGGCCCTTATTTGATCACAACTGGCACTTGCGGTAAACAAAGTCGGTGAGGATGCTGCATTCATGCAGTGGTCGCTGCATGCTCCGCCAGCCCAAACCCGAGAGTCGCAAAGCCGAAAGCGGCAAAACACCAAACCCCAAAGCCGTCAACTCAATCGAGTTGTCGACAAAGTCAGTGAGTATGTTGCATTCAAGTAGTGTTTGCATTCATTGAGCCCATCCCACAACAGGAAGCGACGTGTCAGCCAAAACTACGTGCACAATCCCAGACAGACACGCCACCAAAACCGGGGTCGGCACCGCCCTCCCACCCCCCCCGCTCTGGCCGCCGCTCGGTTGGGCGAGTGCCGGCCGATGGCGTCTGAGGCTACAGCCTACAGGTTAAGGGTTAAGAAACAATGTTTGGCGAGCGGCTGATCAAGCCGCCATACTGCATCAAACACCCTATGCTGCTACACACTGCCTTTGTTCCTACACTAGCCTACGAAGCCATTCACCCGAACAATCTAAACCCCAAGCCCAAACCCTTAAACCCGAAATCTCCCAAACCCTAAAACCCAACGAAAGCCGCGTATGCGGTCGGCCTCCCGCTCGCTCCCAGAAGGCGTCTGCATCCAGGAGTTCGGCCTTGGCAAAGCAAACTGAGGCTCGGCTCGCGGTATCGGTGTTTTGCGTTTGCTGTGTTCTTGCTGAGTGCAAACAATCCATGTTGCATCTCTTGCGTTTTTCATGTGGAACCGGCTGCGAGGACCTGCTTCGGAGGCGGGTAATCCCCCGGAGACTAGCGCTTTCTTTGGATCTGGTGCTTTGGTTTTGCTTGACGCTTTCAGGCTCTGGAGATCTCTGGAGTGTAGGGTTTTTTCGGGCTCTAAGGCTTTGTGTCTTGGCTGCATAGCTTTGAGAGGTTGAGTGTTTGAGAGTCGGAGCCTCTTTTGATTGTGGCTCGGGTCGTCAAAGTCACCGGGCCGTAAGAAGGCCTCCTCCCAACCGAAGCATCGGATAATATGGGTTGCCTCGTGATTCCTGAAATCTCTGAGACCTCGAGGGTGGAGTCCGGAGTTCCCGTGAGTGAGCTTTCCAGACTGCCTGCATCCACGCTTCGGCTCAGGTCTGCGCTGATGGAGCTCCAACTGCGAACTGCTCACAGGACCTCCCCAAGTCAAGAAGGGGGCACCCAAGGGTGCTCACCAGGCTACAGTTCCGAAAGGGCCTCCGGCAGGTTGCTCGAGCTGCGGCCGCAGCTGCTCCTGGATGCAGACGCTGTAGCTCCAAGAAAGACTTGACCAGCCCACCAGCCCTGAGTCCTGCAACAGAAGCTGCTGCTGGATAATTTCCTGGATCGTCTGCTCCTGTGTCAAGTGAGGTTTTCTGCCTGGGGCCCAGAGTACTCAGCATTGGAGCAGCTGGCCATTCAATTTGGGCAGATCCTACGGCTACGCAACATCTGAAGAAGGCACGACAGAACTCGAGCATGTGGTCCCTCGATCGCCCGGCAGCCGTGGACTTCTGCCTTCTCTCCGCCTCCACAGGATCAGAAGTGCACGGGCCGACGTTAACACGGCAACAACAGCAGGCCTCGACGTCCGGAGAAGGTGCAGAAAGCAGCTTGGACTGTTTAGGCGACTGCTTCGGCGACTGCTTCGGGGAGCTGCGCTGCTGAAGCTGGTGCTGCAAATCCAGCTGCTGCTCAACGACAGCCTTGATGGACTGCTCGGGCTCCTCCTTCTCTCGCTTTGCTGGCTGCGGGCTCGGTGCCGCAGGCTGGGGAAGCTTCGGTCCCTCACGCACCGCACGGCTTGGCAGGACGGCCATGTCCTGCAGTGGGCGGGGTCATCCGTACATGAGGCCCTGAGAAGCCAAGCTGAAACTCACCCGTGCGGCTCTGGGCTGCTTGAGAAATTCTGACTTCAGCTTCATGTTCAAGAAGGCGGGCTTCCGAGCAGCAAGTGTAGGTGGGAGGCTGCTGTGCAAAATGTGTGCATGGTGTTTGCTCGGTGTGGCGAGGTTCGTTGCTTTGTGGGAAGCAGTCAGTTGGCACATTGGATGTGGAAGGCCCAGCACAAAGCAATCACGAAGCCTGCTTCTGCAAGAGGACAAGTCCCTCTTGCGTGCAGATCTGTCAGCTTCGAAAACCCAAATTCACGAGTCCTCCAACACCACGAAACCCAATGCTCAACAACATTCGGCGTACTTCATGTCTACTGGTGTTTGTTCTGCTCGACTGTGGTGCAACAGCCTGAGCATGTTGAAGAAGACGTCAGTACATGTTCGGATGAAGCCAGGTAAACGAAAGAACTTGCACGGGCCCTCTTAGGCACTTGCAGGTGCTTCGGCCTACCCTCCACCTGCTCAACCAACCAAATGATCCTCAGAGTACAGCCCGCTTCATCGTTCGGATTGGTCCTTGGCACCTCCCAGCTCTCTTCGTGGCACTTGCCTCGTTGCTGGCTCCGCCGCCTTGGAAGGTGGGCTTTGCCTGGCGTGCCAGATGAGTGAGCTGCGATGGCTTCCCCACTTCGCGAAGTCTTCTTGACTTCCCCAACTTGTCCGTGCAGTGAAACGCGGCAACGCACACGAGCCAGTCAGGAGAGAGCACAACTGCAGTCGCGCCTCTGTTCCAGGTACCACACCCACTTCGAGAGAGGGGAGCTGCTGGTGGCTTTGCTCTGCTGTCTGCGGCTTGGAGACAAGCTCTGATGTCCTGCAGTCCAGTTCGGTGGGACGGATTTCTTGGCACTGATGCAGCGCGTGTTCAACATCACCCCTGACCGGTCCCTTGCTCCAAGCTTCGTGGCAACGGCCTGCTTGCGACCCCTTCACAGGGTTCGAGAGCAAGGTGGCCAGAGCAAGCCGCCTCAAATCGGCAAGGCCCGCCCTGTCACGCTGGGACTGATGACTCCGAGCCGAAGGCCAACCCTCGGGCCAGCTTGGGCAGAAGTCTGCCACGAGCAGCGCCAGCTCCTGGGCAGCAGGGCGGTTTTGAAAAGATGCGCCTTTTTGTTCGTACTTGTACCCGTTCCCGGGCTCCTCCGACTCGACCATTTGAGACACCTGCAGCAAGTAAGCCAAGACCTGAAGCAGGCAGGCAACCCAGAACAGAGAAATGTCTACCGCCCCTGAGACGCCAACCCCTTCTCAAGCCGTCGTGAAACCCTTCGGCACATCTGAGCAGAATTTATGTCCAGGTGCCTCGTCGTCGAAGGGCAGGGGAGCACCGACCCAACTCTCGAGCTCCCGCCGCCCACAACCTCGACAGTAGCGCTAGCGCGACGCGAAGGACAACAGGGCTTTTCTGTGCTTCTGCCCGAGGCTCAAGCTCACAGACAGCATGGCTTTAGATACTCTTGAGCCCGACGCCTTCGGTGAGCGAACGGACATCATGATGCCATGCGTTTTTCTTGGGCCTGGCAGCCACAACTTTGCGCCTTTTTTGGGTCAGCCGTTCGCGTCAAACATGTCAACTCTCGGCCTGAACAGCTTGGAGTCTTAAACTATTGGCGTGACGACACACATCCGACAGCTGAACAGTTAGAAAGTGTGGCAACCTGTACCGGTGACTCAGTAGCCCCATCGGGGGCCGCCACCGAAGAGGTGCACGGGCGTGTGGTGCACGAAGTACCAGATGCAGCGGCCGATGAAGCCATAGGCGCACTCGTCCGTCTTTGATGCCTCCGGTCGCTCTTTCTACAGTTTGGGCATCTGCTGAATCTTCTGTAGGCGCAGTACAGGGGCTCTCTTCGCTGCAAAAGGGGTGTTTCTTGGGAACTAGGGTCTTTAACCGGCCTCGATGACCTCCTTCTGGACCGCGCAGACCTGGCCCCAGACGCACATGAGGCCGGAGTTCTTCTCCCAATTGGCTCCAGCCACGAAGCAAGCATCGTCGGGGCCCAGCGAGGTGGCGAACATGCCAGCTCCCCAAGGCCAGTGCATGTTCGCAATCTTCAGCGGATCGCCACAGCAGTCGACGGTCTTGTTCTGGAACAGCAGCCTGTCCGTCTTCTCGATGTTGGTGCACGCCACAATGCACATCTCCTCGCCCGGATAGGAGATCTTGGGAATCGGCGGGATGGGCCACTCGTTGGGCTTCTTGCCCGGCTCCTCGACACAGGAGTAGTTGCAGTCGCCCACCGCGTAGATGCGTGGGAAGCCCTTCTCGTCACCTCCCCACAACTTGCCCTCACGGGTCTTCACGGCCAGGCTCTGCTCCTGACAGCAGGGCATTGCACCAGCACGACGACTCCCATGTCCTACAGCACCCTACGGAGTCCTACGCACAGGGCCTATGCTGCGTGTGCGTGTGCTACCGAGACTCCATCAGGATCCAGCCGCCGCCGCCCGGCCCTTTCTCGCTGAGGGTCTCTTTGGGCATGAAATAGTTCGACGCCTTCACGCCGATGCACACGTACTCCTTGTCGGGCCCGCTCGGCAGCTCGATCTTCTTCCAAAATTCGGGATCCTTGGCATCATACTTGGTGTTGTAGAACTGCTTGATGCCCACTTTCTTCATGTAGCTCTCCTCACAAGGCTGGAAGGCTGGTGGGTGGGAGTAGCAGACAGGCCAAGGCACTTGTGTGTGTGGCAGCCGTTTCACAGCTGAACTGAAGCTGCCGCCGGGGCTCGCAGTACTTGGCCGCTGTTGCCGGCAGTGGGCCAAGGGGCTGCGGCAGGAAGTCGATGATGGTCAGCTTCAGCCTTGGGAAGAAGTGCTGGAGCTCGGTGACCCACTCCACGCCGATGAAACCTGCGCCCACCACCAGGATGGTGGCGCCTTTCTCGTTCAGACCCTTGATGAAGTTGAACCTTCAGAGACATGCCGCAAAAGCCATCTCTGAGAAAGTCTCGACCCTCTCACACTCGCAAGCCGCCCTGGCCGACTGCAGCCGCGTCGCTCCTCGAGGATGTGTCGTCGTCGACCCTCCAAGAATCGCTCGTCGAGGTGCGGCCAGGAGCCTGCGGATCCGTCACAGCTTCTGTCCCTATACTTCCTCAGGAAACACGCCCTGGATAAGCCTTCTGGCCGTGCATCTTCATGGATGGTGGGGAACCACAGAGACTCACCCCACCTGGGGAAGCGAGGGCTGCACGCAGGTGCACGAGCTGAGGCAGCTAGGCACCCAACTTGTGGAAGGGACCGAAATTGCAGCCGGCGCAGATGAGGCAGTAGTCGAAGTCGATGGTTTCCTCAGGTTCCAGAATTAATCTTGGATGTTTCTGCTTTTCTTTTGGCGTTTCGGTTTTTCCTGTCCCAGAGCATCATCTTCAGCTATGGCCAGCAGGTGGGTATTCTCCTTTAAACGTTATTCACACAGTTTTTCACTATTTCCCTAACTCCCCACATGTCCCTGCATTCTGTTTTGTTGCACAGGGTGCTCGTTGCGCTGTAAATTCCCTCGATTGCGATTCTTCATAAGCTTGAACCGATGTGAAAATGTTGTCACTTACACAAATCTTCGCACATTCGCACGCAAAACTGTTTCCAGCTGTTCATGCTCACGATATATCTTAAACACGCCCCTCATTTGGCGATTCAGCCAGGACCGCGAAGCCCAGATTGGCTTAAAAGACAGCCGGTTGGGTGCGGCCCATTTGCAAACACGTTTGTGTCACGGGTTCTGGAAGGGTCCATATTGGGCTCTGTGTTCTTGTATGGTTGTGGTGGTGAAGCTGTTAGTAACTGGTAGTAGTTGTAGAAGAAGTAGTAGTAGTAGTAGTAGTAGTAGTAGTAGTAGTAGTCGTAGCATTAGTAGTAGTAGTAGTAGTAGTAGTAGTAGTAGTAGTAGTAGTAGTAGTAGTAGTAGTAGTAGTAGTAGTAGTAGTAGTAGTAGTAGTAATTAGTAGTCGTAGTAGTAGTAGTCGTAGTAGTAGTAGTAGCAGTAGTAGTAGTAGTAGTAGTAGTTGTTGTTGTTGTTGTTGTTGTTAGCAGCACTCGTCGAAAAGTAGAAACAAAGAGCAGAAGCCAGAACAGGCAGAAAACGAGAAGCAATTACAGGCAGAAGACAGAAAGAACGGCGGAGAAGCAGATAAGCGAAGGAACAGAAAAGCAAAGCACACAAGCAAAGAAGCGGAAAAGCATAAAGGCACACGCACACACAAGCAGACAACCAGAAGCAAGCAAAGGCAGCAGGTAGAACGGGAGAACATGAGCAAAGCATAGAAAACCACAAGAACAAACAAATCCCAAAATAAACCATCCGTTTCCTCATGGCTGAGATGTTAAGGCAGCGAGGTGGCCCTCCGCTTTGCTACACTGCTACACTGCTTGACAGTGCGTCCGAGTCTCCTTTCCCGATTGGAACATAGGCTTGTAAGTCGCAGTCTTCTCGTCGCCGTTCAGCTCCTTGACTTCGCCCCAGATGAACTTGCAGCCCATGCGGGTCTGTCAGGGGGCCGAGAAGGTGCTCCCGCAGCTGCCCTTGCAACGCTCAACTGACATCAACTGACTCAACTTGCTTCCTGCCTCGATGACCGGCTGCAGAGTGAAGGTCAGGGCATCCAAGTGCTTCGGTTTCACATAGGCGCGCAGCACGCCGGGAGTGTACTCGAAGAACTCCTGCGGAAAGCACAGAGGGAGTGCATGGGAGAAGCCGAAGCCCTGGCTGGAGCCTTGGCATCGATGATGGTCACCAGGAAGTGGTTGGCAAGATCACGGCCGGCGGCCAGCCCCGAGAAGCTGCCGCCGATCACCAGCACCCGGCGCCTGGATCTTAGAGCTTGCGAGTTCAAGCCATGTGTAGGGCAATGTTGGGCGTCAAAGAGCACCAGCCCGCGAGAACTTCATGCAGCAACTGATAACCACAACAATCTGCTCTGAGCACCGGAAAAGTGCTTTGTCTTGTTGAACCACACAACTGCAACTTAGTCCTGGGCTGAGCGGGCGGCATGACGTCAGTGGCTGACCCCCTCAAAAAGTGGGGCTGAAGCAAAATCTTTCGAAACACCAAGGCCAGCTTGAAAGAATCAAGTTGCAGGAGCCATTGCAAGTGTCGGACAAGCTATTTCCGGCCAAAATGCGTTCCTTTTCAGTAAGGTCAGAAAGTCAAAGTCCAAACCCTCTTCACGTCCCATACACTGGGTGAGAGTTGACTTGCCTACCGTCCTAGCGTTAACCTAAGGGCGCTCAGTAGCCCCATCGGGGGCCGCCACCGAAGAGGTGCACAGGCGTGTGGTGCACGAAGTACCAGATGCAGCGGCCGATGAAGCCATAGGCGCACTCGTCCGTCTTTGAGGCCTCCGGTCGCTCTTTCTACAGTTTGGGCATCCGCTGAATCTTCTGTAGGCGCAGTACAGGGGCTCTCTTCGCTGCAAAAGGGGTGTTTCTTGGGAACTAGGGTCTTTGACCGGCCTCGATGACCTCCTTCTGGACCGCGCAGACCTGGCCCCAGACGCACATGAGGCCGGAGTTCTTCTCCCAATTGGCTCCGGCCACGAAGCAAGCATCGTCGGGGCCCAGCGAGGTGGCGAACATGCCAGCTCCCCAAGGCCAGTGCATGTTCGCAATCTTCAGCGGATCGCCACAGCAGTCGACGGTCTTGTTCTGGAACAGCAGCCTGTCCGTCTTCTCGATGTTGGTGCACGCCACAATGCACATCTCCTCGCCCGGATAGGAGATCTTGGGAATCGGCGGGATGGGCCACTCGTTGGGCTTCTTGCCCGGCTCCTCGACACAGGAGTAGTTGCAGTCGCCCACCGCGTAGATGCGTGGGAAGCCCTTCTCGTCACCTCCCCACAACTTGCCCTCACGGGTCTTCACGGCCAGGCTCTGCTCCTGACAGCAGGGCATTGCACCAGCACGACGACTCCCATGTCCTACAGCACCCTACGGAGTCCTACGCCTGGGGCCGATGCTGCGTGTGCGTGTGCTGCCGAGACTCCATCAGGATCCAGCCGCCGCCGCCCGGCCCTTTCTCGCTGAGGGTCTCTTTGGGCATGAAATAGTTCGACGCCTTCACGCCGATGCACACGTACTCCTTGTCGGGCCCGCTCGGCAGCTCGATCTTCTTCCAAAATTCGGGATCCTTGGCATCATACTTGGTGTTGTAGAACTGCTTGATGCCCACTTTCTTCATGTAGCTCTCCTCACAAGGCTGGAAGGCTGGTGGGTGGGAGTAGCAGACAGGCCAAGGCACTTGTGTGTGTGGCAGCCGTTTCACAGCTGAACTGAAGCTGCCGCCGGGGCTCGCAGTACTTGGCCGCTGTTGCCGGCAGTGGGCCAAGGGGCTGCGGCAGGAAGTCGATGATGGTCAGCTTCAGCCTTGGGAAGAAGTGCTGGAGCTCGGTGACCCACTCCACGCCGATGAAACCTGCGCCCACCACCAGGATGGTGGCGCCTTTCTCGTTCAGACCCTTGATGAAGTTGAACCTTCAGAGACATGCCGCAAAAGCCATCTGTGAGAAAGTCTCGACCCTCTCACACTCGCAAGCCGCCCTGGCCGACTGCAGCCGCGTGGCTCCTCGAGGATGTGTCGTCGTCGACCCTCCAAGAATCGCTCGTCGAGGTGCGGCCAGGAGCCTGCGGATCCGTCACAGCTTCTGTCCCCATACTTCCTCAGGAAACACGCCCTGGATAAGCCTTCTGGCCGTGCATCTTCATGGATGGTGGGGAACCACAGAGACTCACCCCACCTGGGGAAGCGAGGGCTGCACGCAGGTGCACGAGCTGAGGCAGCTAGGCACCCAACTTGTGGAAGGGACCGAAATTGCAGCCGGCGCAGATGAGGCAGTAGTCGAAGTCGATGGTTTCCTCAGGTTCCAGAATTAATCTTGGATGTTTCTGCTTTTCTTTTGGCGTTTCGGTTTTTCCTGTCCCAGAGCATCATCTTCAGCTATGGCCAGCAGGTGGATCACATTCGCACGCAAAACTGCTTCCAGCTGTTCATGCTCATGATATATCTTAAACACGCCCCTCATTTGGCGATTCAGCCAGGACCGCGAGGCGCAGATTGGCTTAAAAGACAGCGGGTTGGGTGGGACCCATTTGCAAACACGTTTGTGTCATATGGGCGCTGTGTTCTTGTAGCAGTGGTTGCAGAACAAGCAGAAAACGAGAAGCAATTACAGGCAGAAGACAGAAAGAACGGCGGAGAAGCAGATAAGCGAAGGAACAGAAAAGCAAAGCAGACAAGCAAAGAAGCGGAAAAGCATAAAGGCACACGCACACACAAGCAGACAACCAGAAGCAAGCAAAGGCAGCAGGTAGAACGGGAGAACATGAGCAAAGCATAGAAAACCACAAGAACAAACAAATCCTAAAATAAACCATCCGTTTCCTCATGGCTGAGATGTCAAGGCAGCGAGGTGGCCCTCCGAGTTGCTACACTGCTACACTGCTTGACAGTGCGTCCGAGTCTCCTTTCCCGATTGGAACATAGGCTTGTAAGTCGCAGTCTTCTCGTCGCCGTTCAGCTCCTTGACTTCGCCCCAGATGAACTTGCAGCCCATGCGGGTCTGTCAGGGGGCCGAGAAGGTGCTCCCGCAGCTGCCCTTGCAACGCTCAACTGACATCAACTGACTCAACTTGCTTCCTGCCTCGATGACCGGCTGCAGAGTGAAGGTCAGGGCATCCAAGTGCTTCGGTTTCACATAGGCGCGCAGCACGCCGGGAGTGTACTCGAAGAACTCCTGCGGAAAGCACAGAGGAAGTGCATGGGAGAAGCCGAAGCCCTGGCTGGAGCCTTGGCATCGATGATGGTCACCAGGAAGTGGTTGGCAAGATCACGGCCGGCGGCCAGCCCCGAGAAGCTGCCGCCGATCACCAGCACCCGGCGCCTGGATCTGAGAGCACAGGACACCCACTGAAATCCAGAGACTACAAATGACTACAAGCAGGCTCAGCATGTGCATGGCTCAGCACCGCGCTGGGCTGGAGGCATCTGCTCTGTGGACTCGAGAGGGCGCACGCTCTACAAAAAAACAATCAATGCTATTAAAAGACTCTTCGAGCCACTTGGTCGGTGTACACGGCTGGGAACAAGCACCACGTGGAGCTGAGATCTACTGAGTGAGGAGGCCGGCTTACCGGTCGAGTTTGCCCCATGAAGAAGCACTTTTCTCTTGAGATCCCCTGGGTCTGAGGCATCACGAATCAAGGGAGAGTGGTCTGCGACTGGATGCATTCGCAGCTGTCAGCAGACCTGCCTCCATAGGCTGCACACGAGCCCTATAACTTCTCTACGACGCGAAATATATCCAACCAGAGCCGGATTGAAAAAGTCGATCGTCTAGCGAGTCTAGCCTGGATCTCAGTAGCCCCATCGGGGGCCGCCACCGAAGAGGTGCACAGGCGTGTGGTGCACGAAGTACCAGATGCAGCGGCCGATGAAGCCATAGGCGCACTCGTCCGTCTTTGAGGCCTCCGGTCGCTCTTTCTACAGTTTGGGCATCCGCTGAATCTTCTGTAGGCGCAGTACAGGAGGGGCTCTCTTCGCTGCAAAAGGGGTGTTTCTTGGGAACTAGGGTCTTTGACCGGCCTCGATGACCTCCTTCTGGACCGCGCAAACCTGGCCCCAGACGCACATGAGGCCGGAGTTCTTCTCCCAATTGGCTCCGGCCACGAAGCAAGCATCGTCGGGGCCCAGCGAGGTGGCGAACATGCCAGCTCCCCAAGGCCAGTGCATGTTCGCAATCTTCAGCGGATCACCACAGCAGTCGACGGTCTTGTTCTGGAACAGCAGCCTGTCCGTCTTCTCGATGTTGGTGCACGCCACAATGCACATCTCCTCACCCGGATAGGAGATCTTGGGAATCGGCGGGATGGGCCACTCGTTGGGCTTCTTGCCCGGCTCCTCGACACAGGAGTAGTTGCAGTCGCCCACCGCGTAGATGCGTGGGAAGCCCTTCTCGTCACCTCCCCACAACTTGCCCTCACGGGTCTTCACGGCCAGGCTCTGCTCCTGACAGCAGGGCATTGCACCAGCACGACGACTCCCATGTCCTACAGCACCCTACGGAGTCCTACGCCTAGGGCCGATGCTGCGTGTGCGTGTGCTGCCGAGACTCCATCAGGATCCAGCCGCCGCCGCCCGGCCCTTTCTCGCTGAGGGTCTCTTTGGGCATGAAATAGTTCGACGCCTTCACGCCGATGCACACGTACTCCTTGTCGGGCCCGCTCGGCAGCTCGATCTTCTTCCAAAATTCGGGATCCTTGGCATCATACTTGGTGTTGTAGAACTGCTTGATGCCCACTTTCTTCATGTAGCTCTCCTCACAAGGCTGGAAGGCTGGTGGGTGGGAGTAGCAGACAGGCCAAGGCACTTGTGTGTGTGGCAGCCGTTTCACAGCTGAACTGAAGCTGCCGCCGGGGCTCGCAGTACTTGGCCGCTGTTGCCGGCAGTGGGCCAAGGGGCTGCGGCAGGAAGTCGATGATGGTCAGCTTCAGCCTTGGGAAGAAGTGCTGGAGCTCGGTGACCCACTCCACGCCGATGAAACCTGCGCCCACCACCAGGATGGTGGCGCCTTTCTCGTTCAGACCCTTGATGAAGTTGAACCTTCAGAGACATGCCGCAAAAGCCATCTCTGAGAAAGTCTCGACCCTCTCACACTCGCAAGCCGCCCTGGCCGACTGCAGCCGCGTCGCTCCTCGAGGATGTGTCGTCGTCGACCCTCCAAGAATCGCTCGTCGAGGTGCGGCCAGGAGCCTGCGGATCCGTCACAGCTTCTGTCCCTATACTTCCTCAGGAAACACGCCCTGGATAAGCCTTCTGGCCGTGCATCTTCATGGATGGTGGGGAACCACAGAGACTCACCCCACCTGGGGAAGCGAGGGCTGCACGCAGGTGCACGAGCTGAGGCAGCTAGGCACCCAACTTGTGGAAGGGACCGAAATTGCAGCCGGCGCAGATGAGGCAGTAGTCGAAGTCGATGGTTTCCTCAGGTTCCAGAATTAATCTTGGATGTTTCTGCTTTTCTTTTGGCGTTTCGGTTTTTCCTGTCCCAGAGCATCATCTTCAGCTATGGCCAGCAGGTGGATACTCTCCTTTAAACTGACGTTATTCACACAGCTTTTCACTATTTGCCTAACTCCCGGCATGTCCCTGCATCCTGTTTTTTGCACAGGGTGCTCGTTGCGCTGTAAATTCCCTCGATTGCGATTCTACATAAGCTTGAACCGATGTGAAAATGTTGTCACTTACAAAAAACCTTCGCACATTCGAACGCAAAACTGTTTCCAGCTGTTCATGCTCATGATATATCTTAAACATGCCCCTCATTTGGCGATTCAGCCAGGACCCCGAGGCAGAGATTGGCTTAAAAAGAAAGCGGGTTGGGAGGAGCCCCCCATTTGTAAACAGTTTGTGCCACGGGTTCTGAAAGGGTCCATATGGGCTCTGTGTTCTTGTAGCAGTGGTTGTGGTGGTGAAGGTTGTAGTAGTAGAGGTAGTAGTAGTAGTAGTAGTAGTAGTAGTAGTAGTAGTAGTAGTAGTAGTAGTAGTAGTAGTCGCAGCAGCAGTAGTAGCAGTAGTAGTAGTAGTAGTAGTCGCAGCAGCAGTAGTAGTAGTAGTAGTAGTAGTAGTATGGTAGTAGTAGTAGCAACAGCAGGAGCAGGAGCAGGAGCAGGAGCAGGAGCAGGAGCAGTAGCAGTAGCAGTAGCAGTAGCAGTAGCAGTAGGAGTGGTAGTAATAGTAGTGGTAGTAGTAGTTGTTGCTGTTGTAGTACTAGTACTAGTACTAGTACTAGTACTAGTAGCAGTAGCAGTAGCAGTAGCAGTAGCAGTAGCAGTAGCAGTCGTAGTCGTAGTGGTAGTGGCAGTGGCAGTGGCAGTGGCAGTGGCAGTGGCAGTGGCAGTGGTAGTGGTAGTGGTAGCGGTAGTTGCAGTAGCAGTAGCAGTAGCAGTAGCAGTAGTAGCAGTAGTAGCAGTCGTCGAAAAGTAGAAAAGCAAAAGCAGAAGCCAGAACAAGCAGAAAACGAGAAGCAATTACAGGCAGAAGACAGAAAGAACGGCGGAGAAGCAGATAAGCGAAGGAACAGAAAAGCAAAGCAGACAAGCAAAGAAGCGGAAAAGCATAAAGGCACACGCACACACAAGAACATGAGCAAAGCATAGAAAACCACAAGAACAAACAAATCCTAAAATAAACCATCCGTTTCCTCATGGCTGAGATGTCAAGGCAGCGAGGTGGCCCTCCGCTTTGCTACACTGCTACACTGCTTGACAGTGCGTCCGAGTCTCCTTTCCCGATTGGAACATAGGCTTGTAAGTCGCAGTCTTCTCGTCGCCGTTCAGCTCCTTGACTTCGCCCCAGATGAACTTGCAGCCCATGCGGGTCTGTCAGGGGGCCGAGAAGGTGCTCCCGCAGCTGCCCTTGCAACGCTCAACTGACATCAACTGACTCAACTTGCTTCCTGCCTCGATGACCGGCTGCAGAGTGAAGGTCAGGGCATCCAAGTGCTTCGGTTTCACATAGGCGCGCAGCACGCCGGGAGTGTACTCGAAGAACTCCTGCGGAAAGCACAGAGGAAGTGCATGGGAGAAGCCGAAGCCCTGACTGGAGCCTTGGCATCGATGATGGTCACCAGGAAGTGGTTGGCAAGATCACGGCCGGCGGCCAGCCCCGAGAAGCTGCCACCGATCACCAACACCCGGCGCCTTGCGAGCTTCTGATTCTGAAGCAGAATGCACACCACAGAACACAGCAAGCACCGCAAGCACTGGCACTCGGGATAGGGCTGCGCAGGTGGCATTGTTCCGCTGCCGAAAGCGGCAAATGATGGTTATACTACAGCTGGGCTTCGAGCACCAAAAGAAATCATATCGAGCACACTACCTGCGCTAACATCCACTTCGTCCAGCTCTGTGTTTTCTCTCTTGCGGAAAGTCATGGCCAAGTCTGTCGAAGGCAGGAGCTTGAAAACCTAGCTTTGTAGGTGGCAAGAGCTCGAACACGATTGGAACAGCCATGCCCTCAATGTGGACCGAACCAGCAAACCCAGACCCTTCTGAGAAGCCTTAGCATGTTCTCCAAGGGATGTACAGGAGGACCGCCGACACTGCGAGCGATTAGGCCACAAGAGCCCTACTCCCGACGACCTCGAACTGAAAAGGCCCCAAAGCATGCATGCCAGCAGTGCATAGGCGAAAAGCCTGGCTTCCGAGCGAAGCTGAAACTGACCGCGTTTTTTCAGCGCCTGTATTTGGCGGAAATAGTTGTAAGGTCTTTGCCAGTCTTTGTCTATCTAACACGCACAAATGAGAAGGTAGTGGCATGTGCCTCCATCCTCATGAAACACAGCCGAAAAGGCTGGGCTCTTTCAAACGTGAACCATTAAATCTGAAGCTCCTCTGCGCAACTCCACAGGCTACGCATCCTGCAGAGTCCTGGCCGAATACTGCGCTCATTCCGGACAGCCCAGGCTGTCACGAGTTGCAACGCCCGTTTTGGGGTTGACGCCCTTGGCGAGCGGGCAGATCATGTCCAGCTGATCTTTGCGAAACGGCGTGTCAGTGAAGTCAGCACCCGCGATGCTCTTGAACTCAGGGAGTTCATGGATTCTTCGTGCTTAAATTTCCGAAACACACTTGCGCTAGTTGCATCCCCCGTGCCAGGGGGTGTTTCGAAAGTAAAGATGTGAAAACCAATGAATCCAGAAGTTAAATAAAATTAAATTCCGTAAAAAGATGTAAGTAAAAAAGCAGCAGCTGCACATGGGAGATATGAAACAGAGTGATCCGGTTCGAGCGGTTACATTCACGACAAACAACACCATGCTGGTGGCCTCCACGCCGGTCGCACTGTTCATGTACATTTCCGTCGCAACGGCATTGTCGAAGATGGCATTACGCAGCTTCGACAGCTCGAAGTTCGCCTTGCTTCAAGAAGCTATCTGCTGCTTCAGACTTTAAGAAACAATGGTACCGGAAGCTGCCTGGTTCAGGTTCGCCCCAGTGAAATCTGCATTCGTCATATCCGCATCGAAGAAGCTTGCGCTCTGACAGTCAGTGTTGACAAACTTGGAGTCACGGACTGAGGATTGCTGGAAGGACACACCGACGATGCTCTGGCCAGAGTAGTCTGCTCCATTCAGGTTTACACCGCGAGTAATATTCTTCGCGGACCCACTGTTCTTGCCTGTCGTTGAGGCCCCACCGGCCATGATCTTTGACGACACCGTCGCACTCTTGTCTGCACTCACAGGCTGCACCAGCATGCTGAGGCCCAGCAACACCGCGAGCGCCTTCCAAGCACAGCATCTGTTAGTGTAGGCTTGGCTTCTCAACTCGGGCAATCTTCGATTCTGCCAAGCAGCTGACAGGGCAGCACTCCTGGAAAGCACTAGGGGCTCTTCCTGGACTGCACCGAAGAGGTTCCGGTCAACCCGAGGCCGAAGGCTCTTCAGGACCTCCTCTCTCGGCAAGTGTCCTGGCTGCAACCTGCACTGCCGCGGGTGTCTACCCATGAAGAGTGACAGCACTATTCATGCCGGTTACATCTGCCCACATCATGCCACGGCACCAGGCAACGCTCCAGGAATAGGATACCAAGCCCAGTGCCACCTGATACGACATGCTTCAGAAAGCTCTGCACACCGTGCCTGGGCGAAAGCAGACCCGAATCTGCACGCTTTTGGGTTCTGACACCATGGAAGTGTCTTGTTGGTGCACCGTGCTGTCTGTGCTCCACCGCGTGTTGGTGAGGGATGAGGCGCTACCGGGGCACCATCGGCGGAAGGCACCATCTTCGGGTGCCGGAGGCCATCGCCGTCCTGTCAAGCGCTTCAGGGAAGGTGGCTGCTAGCTGCTAGCTTTGCGAAGACTCGGGAAGTCGTCCTGTGGACATGCCGCAAGCAGATGCATTAGACCCTCAAGGCTTGTGTTTCAGGGCCTGAACATCGCCGACCCGGACACCCTGCAACTTTCAGCTCCCCGCGCGAACCTCGCGAGCTGCGAAGCGTTTCTCTGAAGCAACTTCCTTTTGATCCGAAAGGGAAGGAGAAGGAGCAGCTCCATCTCGGGCATCTTGCTCGCTCAGGAAAAGAGCCAAAGCTCCAAGACTTCTTTTCCCCTAGGCGGTCAAGATCTGTTCCACATCGCCGGGGGGATAAAGCATGCTCTACGCACAGCTCGCGCTGAAGCTTGCGGAAGCAGCCGACCTGACCTTGACCCTTAGGCCCTTGCAGCTGCTAGTAGAATTGGACGCAGAGGATGTGGCCGACCGTTTGTTCTCTGTCACAACGGCTGGTGGCTACCCATAGTTACTTCAACATTTCAGACTTCACGGTAACGACTCTCTCGACAAGCGCATTCGTTGCTTCTAAACACACCCTCGAAGTGCGCATCTGGGACCGTTTTCGAATTAGACCTCGACAACTGTTGCAGACCGTTTCGGATTTGTAATCACTTTTCCACCTGTTTCAATGTACTTTCAATCTTCGAGTTCAATGCAAACATGTAATGAACGCCAAACAAGCACCATTCAAACCGATTCACCAAGTGTGATGGGATACATATACAGCTTCCTTACATCTGCATATTGCTTGGAGAGGCTATCTTCTGAGATTCAGACTTGCAGGACGCAAGATAGCCCTGTGACGCTCACAGGAGATGCCAAACGCCATGAACCCTAAAATGATATAGGTGCTTTGCGATGCTCGTGCATTCGTGGATGCCTCAGGCTCTAGAGATCACCCTACCACAAGAAAAAAACTAGCAAAGTCAACTGATGTAATGGCGCCAACAGCTTAGCAGTCTCTGCTTGGGTCCTTTCAGTCGGAGCTAGGGAACTAAGACCATGAAGAGTGTCGGTCAACCAGACTGCGCAAAATCCAAAACCAACAGAATCCATGGTTCGAATGCCTTCGCTGCTTCTGCTCCCTGGTGCAAGTGCGTCTTAGATCCTAGACATCGACATCAGCTCAGGCCGTAGTAGCCTCGGCTGGTTTGGTGGATTTTTCCGGCAGCATGAGGGCTCAGTCGCAAAACGACACCACAGGAATGGGAATGGCTGCTTTGAAGTGCCGAGCAGCGGCACCTTCACTGCCCCAGAAAGGGCCTCCCTGGAGCGCTCCGACTTCTTGAGGTGCAGGAACGCCAGATAAAGAAGCGATGACATCGATGCCCAGAGAGCCAAGCAAGCCCAGAGAGGGACGGGGGCCAAGGGGGATTCTGCCGAGCGGAGCGAAACCGGTCTGGGCGAGACCGGCCTGTAAGGAAACATGGCGACCTCCTTCCGGTTGAAGCTATGCACCGCATAGACCTCAGCCGACTCAACGCCCGCTCGCGCAGCACTTAGTATCTCAGGAGCGAGAACCGGAGATGAGAGCCTAAACCTCCAGACACCACCAACCCTGATTCGAAGCTTATTGCTTCCCTCCCTCTCCGAGTAGGCCCTCTCCCTGCAGGTGTGCTTTCCTTTCAGGCCAGATTCGTTACGCAGAAAGGAATCTCCCAAGATCCAGATGCCCTGATTCGAAGCCGACAAGCCGGTCCTGCAGAAGTCCTGGCAAAGCCAAATGCAATTTCTGATAAACTCTCGCGGCTCGTTACGATTTTTACTAAAATCACCGCACTGAAAAAAACCTGGGCCGAGACTGAATACGATGGACGGCCGTCCTCACCATGGATTGTTGCCGCCTTCATGAACAACTCTGACATCTCCAGGCGGATGAGTTGCTCGTCGAAATAGATGCTCAGCGGTGTCGCCTTAGCTTCACTGCCAGTGGCTTCAGTGGGAGTAAGAGAAATTTGGTGTCTGACAGATCTTCGTTTCGGATGCAGATGCCGCTTGGCCCATGTCCCTGGCAAGCACGAGCAGCGATGTTGGATGGCCTGACTAGGACCAAGGAACCTCAGTCCTCCATGATGCCTGAAAAAGACAAGTTGCGGAGTTGGCCAGTGAGCAGGGGCAGAGGAGCTCAATCCCCGCATTCAAGAAGCACTCCTCCAACACGGCTGTCCCGAAGAGCCCCAGCGTCACTGTGACAAACTCACCTCTCAGAACACACAGACAGAGATCAGGCGGGGTGTGTACTCAGGGAGCCACGAGCCTGCTGGGATCGAGATCAATGACGTGCCGGTATCTAGGCATGCCAGCACTGTTCGATCGAAGTTGCCCGCGGTGAGGACTTGCAAGACGTACAGGATCAAGAGGATGACAACTCAGCATCAGCATGCTTCTCAAGCAAGTCCTTACAACCGAAGTGATTCAGAGCATGACAACAGAAAAGCTATGTCAGCTCAGAATCAGAGATAGCTAAGGGCCCGCCTTAGCTGAAACCAGATAAGCTCATGCTGTGCGGAGAACATGCCTCCACATCTTCAATCCCAACCCCGACGTCCAACCCTCACATTGAGCGGCGAGGGTGTGCGTGGGTGCCGTTTTGGCAAAGACTCGGTTCATCACAAATGGTTGAATAAATGATGGTATAAGCTCGCACCCATCATTGTGTTTTGCTCACATGCGTGCGGACTCACGGAGTCACAAGGATAAATCTTGCATGATACCAGTTTGTATCACTGCAGTATCACGGTCTACATGATCTGATCCGAGGCCCACCTGCGCCCGACCAGCCAAGGTGCGCCAGGCAATACCGTTGTCCCAAAGACCGGAGGCTGTACAAGCCTGCAGCGATACACCAAAGGGGCACAGGGCTCGTTCGCAGAAGTATTTCAACGTGCTTGCACTGATGGCGCAGGTCATCTGCGTTGTTGCGATGATGATCATACTCCAACGTGTGTTGCCGCTCTCGTCCTGGCTCTTGTCCTTCACGACGACTACGACCAGGTGCCTACGACCACGACGACTACGACTACGATGAGGACGACGACTGCGACGACAACTGCTACGAGTAGTACGAGGACGACAACAACCACCATTACCACCACTGCTACCACTACTGCTACTGCCACTGCCACTACCACTACCACTGCCACGACCACTGCGACTGCCACTGACACTGCCACTACTGCTGCTGCTACTGCCACTGCCACTGCCACTGCGACTGCTGCTGCTACTGCCACTGCCACTGCCACTGCGACTCGACTGCTACTGAGACTGCCACTGCGACTGCGGCTGCTGCTGCTGCTACTGCTACTGCTATGACGACCACCTACTTCTGCAGAAATTACTACTCACTTGTGGCCCAGCAGCAACAAAGCAGCACGATCAGGTGTAGCAGCGTGAGCAACAAGTAGGAGAGGCGTAACTTCCATAGATGTGGCGCTGTTGCCTGCCACTGGGCTGAGCAAGCGACAAGCTACTCTACTTTGAATCCCTCCGGGCGCCCCGGAACCCCCGCTTCAGAAGTGGCAAAGGATCTCTGGTCTTGGGAAAGCATGGTAACCATTGCTGCTTCCTTTGCCAGAAGCTGGTTGGAACCCGACAGCCCCGACAAGTAGCCGAGCCAACTCCGCTCCACACATCGCTCAGCATCGCAACAACCACGCGGAAGGGACATTTCCCACGAAGGAAAACATCCCCTGGACGCGTGCCGGAGATAAAGAGAGCAAATCCGAGCGTGGGCTCGCGAGATCAGGGAGACGGAGCTTCTGCCGGCACAATAGGTGTGCTGGAGGCTAGTCCACACGTTAACCGCATATCCAATTTGGGAATGCATTGTGACCTTCAGCAGCTGAAACACATATCGCCACCGGCGATACACATGCTCACAGGCAAGTGCATTTTTTCCCAGACATCTCCGGTTGTCTTTGGTGATGGTCTGCCAAGCAAATTATGTCGTCCAGCTACACATTTCCTAACGGCAACATGTACTGCACTCACCCACTTGCCATGCTTTGAGTGGTGTTGGTGTTGTGCCAGGGTTTAGTCGGCCGGCATCGGCACTGACGCCTCCTGGGACACAACTGTCTTGCGATGTATCTGCGATGTGGGAATGTGCATTGGCCTTGATTCTGCTACAAGCAGGTATTGCCAAATGTGTTGGCTGCACTCTGTTTTTTCTATGATTTCGGGCGTCAGATTGGCTTGGACACTGGAGCCACACACAATTCACAGATGAACCACGTCATCCAAAGCAACATACAAATGGTCAGCGAATCACGCAGAGATCACAGAAGCACAGCAGACAAATCACGGATGTATTTCTTCCCAAGAGGCTTAGGGAGATACCGGACATGGCAATCTCAAGAGAGACTTGTGTGTCCTGTCGCAATTCAGTTTCCTGCGCTTTTTGAAGTATACACTCTCTGAAACCTTCCCATCCACAGTGCACAGGCAGAGCTGGTATTTTCAGCCAAAAATTATAAAACAACAAAACAAAAGGCATCCGCATGCAGACCGCTCTTGTACCAGGACAGATCGCTGGTGGAAATCCAACAGCGCTTCGATCCTGAAAAATCTCTGTACGCACACTACTGACCACAAAACCCCTCGAAAAACTCAGCTCCTCTGTTTTCAGAAAGCAGCGAAGTACAAGCTTGTGCTTATCTGCACAACAATGTG